CAGCTGATTCGATCTATCTTATGGGCGCGCAATGTAAGTGCCCAGTGAAAAACGCTACTMCCTTCTCTCTTTGACGTCGGATGACGTGAGAATCTACAGCATTTTGGTTTTTGCCGTCTAAACGTGTCAGCTGATTGATCTCTCACAACCCAGGGTTGCCAATATCTATATACTGTAGTAATTRTSAASTTTTATAATTCAATCTGTTCAATATGTTTGAAATTTTCTTAAAATAACTCAAAATTGGAGTCGAATACTATTATTTATAAATATATAAACTATTTTTAATAGATTGTTTTCAGTTTTGATATTTTATATTATAAAAAATTATAATTGAAAACATAGATGTGTACAAAACTATATATGCGTATTGAGCAATGGCAACATTGTGCAAATGAAAACAAAGATGGCTGAATTCTGCGTTTTTGCCACGTTTTTCACTAGGCACACATTTGGCCGATGAGGAAGGCAGTAGCGTTTTTGACTGTTCCTGCTATAAAGAAGTTCGAATAGCAATTACCTGTCTGAAGAACAATAAAGCGATATTCACAACGCGCCAAATCTTGGAAAAGACTCGTGAAAAGAGATTCTTCGACGATTTCAAAGCTACTTTCGACAACACAAAAAGGAGCTACCTATATGCCGCGATGTCTGAATTGGGTATTCCCGCAAAATTAATACGACTGTGTAAACTGACGTTGAGCAACACTAAAAGCTCCGTCAGGATCGGGAAGGACCTCTCCGAGCCGTTCGATACCAAACGAAGTTTCAGGCAAGGCGACTCCCTATCGTGCGACTTCTTCAATCTGCTGCTGCAGAACTTAATAGAGAAGGTACAATTTTTTATACAAGTGTACAGCTGCTGGCGTATGCTGATGATATTGATATCATCGACCTCAACACCCGCACCGTTAATTCTCCTTTTTCCAGACTGGACAAGGAAGCAAAGCAAATGGGTCTGGCAATGAACGAGGGCAAAACGAAATATCTTGTCAACAGGTGCTACTTCCTACTGAGACAACAACTGATGAGTTGACGTAACAAGTTTTCGAGAGAAATGTTCTTCGCCAGAATTATGGTCCTTTGCACATAGGTCACGGCGAATATCGCATTCTATGGAACGATGAGCTGTACGAGATATACGATGACATTGACATAGTTCAGCGAATTAAAAGACAGCGGCTACGCTGGCTAGGTCATGTTGTCCGAATGCACGATAACACTCCAGCTCTGAAAGTGTTCCACACAGTACCCGCCGGGGGAAGCAAATGAAGAGGAAGACCTCCACTCCGCTGGAAGGGCCAGGATTAGAAGGACCTGGTTACACTTGGAATATCCAATTGGTGCCACGTAGCGAAAAGAAGAAACGACTGTTACGCTGTTGTTAACTCGGCTGAAATCGCGTAAGCGGTGTCTACGCCAGTAAAGAAGAAGTAGAACACAAGTTACCTCATCCAAAATGCTATATATCATTAACTAATAACTCCTCCGTTGTCAAATTTGTATACATATGTACATATCTTTGAAATGTAGATGGTATTAGTAGTATCACACAGCAAAGCGTGGACGGGTCCTCTAGTAATAAATAAATAAATTAAAAAATAATTATTAAACGACTTTTTGCTTATTTCCTCATAAATGTTACGGCTCCTGGAATACAGTTGAAATCGGAGTATAAAGATATCTCAGCCAATTTAAGTGAATAAATATTATGGTCAAAAAATAGTAACACTTTGTAAGATAATTTTCGTGAGAAACCCAATTTGTCAAAATATTTTTTTCCTATGTTGATGTGACTGTGTCAAATATCACATCAAAATAATCTCCATCGTCTTTAGTATACGCTTGTCTTTTTTAAGTACATTCAACAAAGATATTCCTTTAAATTTTGTGTGCGGTTTCTGTTCAACATCGACTAATGATGTAAATAAAATAAACGGATTGGTGCTTTAGAATCGGCGATTTACAGAGAAATTAGTGGCATCGTTGGAATATCGGAAAGATTATTTGGACAATAAGTGAAAACACGATTGGTTCAAAAATCACAAAGTTTTTTCGAAAAACCGCGCCGCGTTGACTTGTGCGAAACAATGCTTTCCGACTATCAGGATGTCATGAAGAATACTGCTAAAAAGAAATACTATTTGAGTGTTATGCGTCGTTTGCCCGATGCTATTCGTAAAGAGGCCGACAATTCTTGGTTTTTGCTAAACGATAATGCACCGTCGCTTACTGCATCAATTCTTCGTGAATTTTCGACAAATTTCAATTAATATCGTACCGCAACCACCGTTTTCGCCTGATTTAGTTTCCATTTCTCGCTAATCAGCAAACTTAAACAACCGCTCCGGGGATACCGTTTTGAGTCAATTGAAGACATAAAACGTGAATCGTTACGCGCTTTAAAGGTAATACGGGAAATTGACTAACAATTGTTTCGAGGATTAGAGAAAACGTTGACACAAGTGTGTTCGAACAAGGGGTAATTACTTTGAGGGGGACGACATAGATTTTGAAGAATAAATTAATAATTATGAACGAAGTCCGGGTTGTGTTTAGTATCGCGCCGGTTAATTTTGGCTCACCGTACCTAAATGAGAGAACCAAATGGAAAATTTTAAACACGCATGTATGCTTAAATTATCGAACTTTGTTTTAAATAATATTTTATAAAAATCGGTTCACAAATTTTTCCACAAATTCACTTTAAAAAATGCTATTTTTTGCAAAATTCTAAATATAT